TGTCAGTTCCAGCTTTGTGAAAATAATTCCTTCTCTTCATCGTCTCTGTGACTCAGAACTTGGCCTGAGTTTTCAGTGCATTTGACCCAGCTGTGTCCAAGCTTACTAAAGGAGGTGCAGCTGTTACAAAAATGAATCCCTTTGGCTGATGGCCACACAGATTGCTGTCAGCAAAAAAAGCAGGTTGGGAAGGGGGTGAAGAGGGGCAAGAAGAGAGATTCTGCTGAATGAGGATAAAGGAATTGCTCAGTGACAGCCAAGTCCAGTGGTATAAATCATAGGCTGCATTACCTTTTGCCCTTGCACAGTCCTATTTCTAATGCTTGCCCTACTGCATCTTCCAGGGACTGGGCCTATTTCTGATGAAGATGGCTTAAAGTTACTCTTGTTCCATTAAATTATGGTTGGCTTCCTTTTTCCAGCCTGGGTGTGCCTAAGGTACCACTTGTAGCTAAATGACAGATTAACCAAACCATTCTATGTCAGCAGTGGGGCAGCTGCAACTTACACACTAAAATCAGAGATTTGGCTACTAGATTTGTAGTCACAAACCCAAAATTGTACAGCTACAAGCAGACTGTGTGAAATAAACACCACTCACTGGCATCACTGAGAGCAGATCCACAAGTGCAACGTTCTCTGAAATCCCCTAAAATTTCCTGGGGATGCTGTTTGCTTTCTTAATACTCTGTTTGCCTAACACTGTTTTCACTGAACAGTTTATTGTTGTGCCCTCTCATCCTGTTTGTTTCTTGCTACACATGCTTCAGACATGGATAACTGCATTTTCATAATGCTGCTGTGAGGTAGAAGAGTGTTAATACACTGCTTCCAAAGAGAAAGTGTGGTAAAAGCAAAATTTTGTTCAAAATCATGTGCTAATTTTAAATACTTAATGCTGTGGTGCCCAGCACGTTTTCTGTTGTTCTTTTGCTTTGAAGTTCAGCCTTTTGACAGAGCTCATTTCAGCAGCTCCTTATGGAGCATCCATTTAAGAGATGTCTTAAAATATCTTAAAATTCTCCTACATTTTCCTCATGGGCAGAGTGCCATCTTCACTACAACTTTGAGATGATTCTTTTTTAAAATAGTTCATATAAAAATGCACACTGGACTGCATTGTGATGTGATTTGCCACTGGTAAAAGTCACACAGCTTTTCACCCACAGTTTTGTGGGTATTGCAACGATGGTAGTTTTCAACATCATAACTTTTTTCCCTATCTTATTGGCTAATTTTTAACTGAATGAATGTGATTATTTTACAGCTTGCCTATCTAAGTGTTTAAACTTTTGTGCTGACTGAGAGGCTTGAATTTATCTTAGCTGGTTCATTCCTGGCATTAAAATACATCATGTTTAATCTAAAAGTCAAAGTCTGTAAGATCAAAGATATGGAATCTTGAAATCCAAACCAGAAGGATCATAAATTGTAATTCTCTTTAACGACCTATGTACTATACTTCAGTTAAAATAAACAGAAAAGTCTCTTTGGGGTTGTTGGACATACTTCTCCATTTATAAAAAAAAATGTGAGCACTGTTGTAATTAATTTTATATAACAATCACAATCTTAACAAAACTGAGGAAGGGGAGCTACTTATAAGGCAAGTTTTGTATATGCAAACCCCATGTTTGTATTTTACAGATAAAATGTTCAGGCCTCTGTTAACTTTGCAAGCACCAGTAGCCAGCTTGCCAGATGTACCAGTTCCTGTCAGAAAAGCCCAGTCCAGTTTGCTGTTTGTAATCAGTTGTTTGTTGAAATTCTTCTCTCCTCCAAGTTCTAACTACTGGCATTTCCATGAAAAGTTCACTTCTCTAAAACCAGTGGCTCATAAACTAGTTGTAAGCAACAAATGTGTTACAGATTTTCTAATGTTCCTGTCTTCCTTACCACAAATATTCTTTTTTTTTATCTAGTCCTCACAAGTATTTTTGCAGTCTCTTAATACAAAGGTTGCTCCTTACTTACTGTACTTCTATACCCCAGACTCTTTGTAGATTTCCTTGACTGAATAAGCAGATGTGTAAAAACCATGATATCCACCCACACATTCTTCCTGTGCTACCTGGAACTGTGTGGCCTTGACCTTTGTAATGTTGAACTTCCTTTTATTGCAGGATGGATCTAAATATTGAAACTTCCATTAAGTTAAACAAATAAATCAAGTGTGTCAGTGGCAGAAAGAAGCATTGTCTCAGGGGTCGTAGGAAGAGGAAAAGAGGAGATAGTGAATAAAAATTGAGTAGAAAAACTTCTGTCTGAATATTGAGAAAGCAACACCATCAACTTGTAGAATCAAAACTAAACTCCTGATAAATATGTGTATGGTTTTGCACCTTTGTAGGCTTTGACTTGCATGTTCTGCTGTGTTCACATTACTCTGTTCTCACTCTGGTGACCTGTCTAGGATTGCTTAGGACAAGGAGGGACTTCTTGAGTCAACAAGTTTGTACCTTTTTGTACAGTGACTGAATTCCACCAGTAAAGCCATTTAAACTGTGCTGTCCTCTCTCAACCCCGTGGAATAGCTGGGTTAGCTCTTCTGCTTTTAATGTGCAGTCAGGCTAATACCCTGCCTGCCTTGTAGCCCAATTTTCCTCTAAAGTACTTATTAGCTGCACTTGCTCTTCCCTACCATTCCTCTTTTGTTCTATGTGTGTATTTACAGGGAATATTTCTACTCAGCCTTCCCAAGCCACGCTTTTCCAGATGCCTCTATCCCCAACAGACTTTCTTGTTTCCCACATTGTCCTAACTCTTTTCCAAAGTTTTTAATCTTCCTGGAACACCAGTGACCAAAAATGTAAATTCTGTCACAGGTGAGCTGTGGTCACTGCCAAAGCTACCTGCTCTCTTCTGTAAATGCCTTTCATGGGCTGGTTGGGCACCTTACCTCTGTTCCTTGTGCCTTGAGTAATTCCAAATGGGAACACTTCAGATGGTGGCATAGATTTTTATTAATTCCAAAGTATGTGAACTTTTCTTGGGTATTGCAGTTTGTTTAGGAGCACTTGAAAAGTCTTCTGAGGACTTCTGTGAAGCAATCTGAGCATGATAGCTTTTTTTCATAATTTTGTTATTTAGTTTAGGAGAGAGCAAGCTTATTTGTTAAATTCTGGAGCGTGGCAAGTTTTGGATTCTTTTAAAAATTACAATACTAATGAATCCCTTGTATCATGGTTAAGTAACCACACACCATTTAAGAAAAGTAACTTACTTGCTGGGTTTAAAAAGCAAGATAAATGTTACTAATCACTTTCAGAGATTTTGTGTGTTAATTGTTTTAAGATACAAGGTCTGATATTTCAAATAAAATGTTCTGGTTTTTAAAGGTGCAGATCAGAGAGCAGATACATACCTTGAAGGAAAAGACCAGCTGGGAGGTTGGTTTCAGTCCTCTCTCTTAACCAGTGTGGCAGCAAGGAAGAAGGCACCATACAAGTAAGTGTGTGGATTGCAAATACATTTCTAGTCCATTTATTGAATATTGGGCTTTTGGAAGTGTGCACAGTAGTGTATAAACAAGAGAAATCAAACCAGTACCAAGTATCTGATTCATGTTATTACATTTTCAGTAAAAAGGTTTTCTCATAGTAGATTGTAATTCATTTACTGTTTAACTTTTTTATATCATAATTCTAATAATGTTTTCATTCTTAGTAATGAAATTTAGGAATTATCAGATACAAGTGGCTTTTTGCTATCTCTCCCACTCCCACAATTAAAGAAATTCTTTGGGACGTGCAGTGTGCAAATCTCCCAAGATCATTGACTGGTGAATTCAACATTAGGCTATAGGGAATTGGGAATAGCTGTTTGCTTGTGTTCTGCTGGAGCTGTGACACACCATTTATCTCCTGGAAGATGGAAAGCATAGGGAAGGGGAATGTGGCTCAGCTGCAAGGAGGCTGTACAATTTTGGGAAATGTATTGGCTTAAAAAGTAAATAATGCTTTAGTCTTCATTTAATCTGAAATACTCATGCCCTAGATATCTAAACAATCTGTTATTTGCACAACAAAATTAAATGAGGAAAATAAAGTTGTTTGCTCTCCGTGGATGGTAGTACGGGGTATATTCATGGTTGGTTGAACTCGGGATGGAGCCTCAAGCTCACCAAAACAGGGTTTCTGTGTGCATCGACTTAAGAATATCCTCATTAGAAATCAATTCTTAGCATAGATTTTTCCCTGGGATTTTGTTTTCACTAAAATCTTTCCTGCAGGACTCTGGTGGTTCATGGCTTTACTGTTGGCGAGAAAGGGGAGAAGATGTCTAAATCTGTTGGCAATGTGGTTGACCCTGATGTCGTTATCAATGGAGGCGAAGTAGGTCAAGCTTCTGAATTTCTCAGAACTGCCACTTAAAACCTTTCACTGCCAGATTCTGCAGCTGTCTTGTGGCAGAACTCTGTCAGGCTCTTTGGCTATACTGCAGTTCCATTTGGCTGGTCTGAAAACCTTGACTTGTGCTGCTTCTGCTGTAGTGCAAGAAAACCCCTCACCTTCATTCTCTACTAAGAGAAAAGAAAATTATTCAGAGGGTGTAGGATGGTTCCTTTTTACCAGTGTTGATGGAGTAATGGAGAAGAAGAAGAATAAAAACAAACAAAAAAATTAAAATAATGAAACTCTGCTGTGAAACTGACTGAAGTTTACCAAGTATGGCAGTGGAGCAGTCAGATCTAGCAGCTGCACCCCAGCAATCTCTCTGCTCTCAGGTTATTATTGACTCTGGAAACTTCATTCCCTGGTCAGGGAGGTTGCACTGAAGTGCATTCATATGTTCTGAATTTCCCTCCCTCCCCAGTCCCACTGTTGCTGTTTCTGAGGCTGCTGAGCAGATTTTGCAGCTCACTAGACGAAAGAATCAATCCTTGCATGACTTGCTTATCTGATTAATTAAAACACACAATTGTTTCTATGCTTTAACAAAGGGGAAAAGCCGTTTTCAGAATTGAAAACAGTCTGAAGGGGAAGAAAAACCTATGTAGCTTTAGATACTAACATGGCTATTTTAATGAGAAGCATTCAAAGGATTTAAGGCTGCAGATGAGTTTCTCTCAGCTTACCTAGGTTCTAGCATTGCCTGTACACAGAGTGCTGCAGGTGTGAGTTACTAAAAGAGGGGGAAGCCTCCAAGCACAGTAGCCTCTGGGCACATAAAATTATAGGTAGTCCTGCGTGGAACAGGGAGTTGGACTGGATGATCCCTATGGATCCCTTTCAGCTGGAGATATTCTATGGCTCTGTCTGTCCTCAGGATCACACCAAGGATCCTCCATATGGTGCCGATGTTCTCCGCTGGTGGGTGGCAGAATCCAATGTTTTCACAGAGGTGATGATTGGGCCTGTGGTGCTCAATGCTGCCAGAGATGATATCAACAAGGTAAGAGCCACCACTGCCAACACTATTCATCTCAACAACAGGTTCTCTGTGTCTTGGTTGCAAAGTTTTCCAGTCTTTAGCCTAAAGAAAGCTTTTCCAAGCTTATTTAGGGAGGTACTACTGCTTTTTACACCTGTGGGTCAAATAGTAAAGTGTGCTGAGAAAAGACTCATTTCACAGCTTTGTGCTTTGTGGAAACAGCCAGTTGTTATTTTTCTGTAGGTCCTTTTGCCATGTGTTCTTTATGATGCCTTTGTAACTATTCAAACAATCATTTTGAAAAGCAGTCAATTTACGTAGTGATGGAACATGAGCATTTTGTGTTTAATCTAAAGTGAAGGCTACTAATGTTTAATTGCTCTGGGTTGTTCTAGCTGCGGAACACACTACGCTTCATGCTGGGAAATGTGGAGGGCTTCAACCCAGAGACAGATTCCATCCCCCCTGCAGAGATGTACATAGTGGATCAATACATGCTGCATTTACTGCACGAATATGGCAGCAAGGTAAGGGGAATTGTGTTTAGATGAGCATGTGTGTAATGTTTTCCATTGGCTTTATTTTCTTTAGACGTGTGAGGAAAACGTGTGCGTTAAGCAGGCACCTTACAACCACAAAGGATCCTTCAATGCAATGCGCACTCCTTTAAGCCCATCTCAATTTTTGGGGAAGACTTTTAACATTCTTAACTTGGACATCAACCAGATTTTCCCACTCACTGCCTAAGGCCTCAAATTAGAAGTCTTTAAAAATAGTTAGATATTAAAAAAAAAAAACCCAAAAGCTAGAGCATTGGAAATTTGCTGTTGTACAGAACTTTGACATTTCTGTCACTCAGAACCATTTTGCTGAAACCATGGGCATGGTTTCTGCGGTTTCCCCTTTCCTTTCCACTCAGACTTGAATGGAAATTATTTCTTTGGCCGAACTGTTAACTGACTTTTTTTCCCCTCCAACAACCTTTTAAAGTTTCTGCCAGACCTTTTGCCACTCATTCCATTTCCTGTAAGTTTAGTTCATCAGGGGGTGTGTGATGCAAACCAATGCACTGTTCTTACCTCCCTCTCCCAGGTTACAGAAGCTTACAAACAATATGATTATAGCAAAGTTGTTCGACTGCTGCAATCATTCTGTTCCAGAAGCTTGTCTAACTTCTATTTCAGCATGATCAAAGACAGGTGAGTTCGTTCCTGCTGCCTTTAAAAGGGAAAAAAGAAAGGAATGGGTCTGAGATGGAGGTAATAAGGTTCCACGTGAATGCTGAGTGAACACAGGTATCTCCAAGGACCTCTCAGTGCATTCAGCTGAGTGGTTGTCATTGTTGTGCTCTCTTCTGTCCACTGGTGGTACTGAACACTTTAAAAGGACATCAAACGAGCACATTTAAAACCAAATAAATATTTAAAGACAGAGTCTTGGATCTATATATTTACCCAGAAAGGGTGTGCATCTGAATTTGGGAAGACAGGAAGGGCTTTTAGCAGTTAGCTGTGCAACTCAGTGTATTTATCTGGTTTTTTAGATCAGTGAAGGAATCTTAAGGCTGTGACCGATACTTGTGTAAATGTGCAAGGGCTATTTCATGGGGTAGGAGGGGTGGAGGTTATACTGATCTATAGTTGCCAGAACATGAGTAAAGGAGGGGGGGGGGAAAAGAAGCCCTAATGCTGAGGTTTACAGATGAACCAAAGGGCTGACAGCTGCAGGCTCAGCTCCCTTAGGACAGATTCTCTCTCCCCCAATTACCATGTAGAGAATCTCCTTTCCTGTGACAAACTCCTTTCCTGTGGCTGCAGATGTGGATGGTCCTGTCTGCAGCTCACTGTGCTTTCCTAGGGAAAGGCACTCCAGAAAAGCTTTCCTTACAAAGGCTGGATGGGTCAGACTTCTGCATGTCCACTGGCAGTCCCAGAAGTGTGGCTCTTGAGCAGAAACATGAACATAGGAATACCTTCCAGCTTTCCCTGCTGTCTTGCAGGCTCTACTGCGAAGAAGCAAAGGATCCTAAGCGTCGTTCATGTCAAACTGTGTTGGCAGAGGCTCTGGACATCATCATCCGCTCCTTTGCACCCATCCTGCCCCACTTGGCAGAGGAGGTTTTTCAGTACATCCCTTACAAGAGAGGTAAGGCACATACCCACTGCTAAGCAATTCCTTTAGTGCACTGTTTAATTGCACAGTTATAAGGAATGCAATTACAGAAATATGCCATTCTTTTTTATTCATTTCATAAACACCCAAATAGACTAAAATAAGAATTGCTTTGTTTTGCTTTCAAGACTCAGAGGGTGTGTTTCGTACTGGCTGGATTAATGCAAGCTCAGCATGGAAGAAGCCTGGCATTGAGGAAGCAATAGAAGGTGCATGTGCAATGAGAGACTCCTTCCTTGGGTCCATCTCTGGCAAGAACGCTTTGGAATATGAAGTCATTATTGTAATTGAGCCTGGATTGCTGTTTGAACTAATGGAGGTAAAAAAATGCAACTTAAGAGTAGTGTTGTCTGTGTGAAAACTTTCTTCTGCTTTGTACTTACCAGAGAATCACAGAATGGTTGAGGTGGAAGGCACTGCTGGAGCCTGTACAGTACAGCTCCTTGCACAGGCAGGCTTACTTACAACAGGTTGCCCAGGCCTCTGTCCATTGGTTTTTGGATAGTTCTGAGGATGGAGATCCTGCCAGCTCTCTGGGCTGCCCGTGCCAGTATTTGACCACCCTCACACTAAAAAAATCAGCTTTGGTTTCTTGGAAGAGGACCACCTTTACCCTGCTGGCAATGGTCTAATGCAGCATCCCAAGGTGGGATGCTGCTGTCCCTGTCCCTGGCTTATTGGCAGCTGCTTGGCCCTCAGGCACCTTTCTCTTGGCCACTGCAGTTCAAGTCTGTCCTCCTCCTAGCAGGAGTAAACCAGACTCTTGGTTCAAACCATCCACTCTGATTAGGAACCACAGCTCAGTGTTTATTTTCTAGACTGGTTGGTGCTGAGAAACAAAACCAAGTTCCAAGTCTGAAAGCTCTCTGTCCCCCAGGCACTGCAGGCTGAAGAAACTTCCAGTGTTTCCCAGCTAAATGAGATAATGATGGCTTCCCAGACAACCCTGCTGAGCGAGCTCCCCAAAGAAATACCTTCAGATGCAAACATCATAAAAGGGACCTTTCTGATTAACTTGGAAGGTAAGAAAACCATTCCAGACAGACTCCTGCACTACAACACAGGTTGTTCATGGCTTGAGTCTTACCTACAGCTCCAGCCTCTCTCTCAACAATTACACTTTCTTTGACAGGTGGTGACATCTGTGAACAATCTTCATACAAAGTTATAGCCCAACCCATTGCCAAAGCAAAATGCCCTCGCTGCAGGAGATACACTGCCGAGTCCTCAAGCACTCCCTGCCCACGGTGCCTCCAAGTCCTTGCTGCTGGAAAGGGGAGCACATGAAGACAAAATGCCTATGCAAAAGCTGCTCCAAAGTGGCTGAAGCAGCAGGTCTGCAAATTGGAACCTGTAGAAGCAGATGCTTAAGCCCCAGCCTGAGCCAGAGTATCATGTATTTTGGGGAACCTTATATGTGTGTGTGTATATATATATAAATATATATATATATATATAAATATATATATATATAGACACACTACTTGTGTATATCACTTTTCAGCTTAATAAAAAGGGTGGTTAAAAATAACTGAGTGATTTACTTGTTCTTAGCAACCTGTGTTCTGTGGAAGTTCACTTCCATTTAAGAGAAAATCTGAATCAGCTCTTGTTTAATTTTTATACTGGCAGCTGGTAGTTCAGCATAACCCCAGAGAACCAGTCCTCTTTACAAAACAGAAGAGAAAATGGTGACCACCATTCCCTAAAAGGAAGGAAAAGACACAATGAAACCTCAAATTTTATTTTATCAATTTACACAAATCCACAGCAAAATAAACACAAAATAGCACTATATACAGAGTATTACTTACAGTACATTACAGATTTGATTGGTGTAGTGTGTCAGCTCTGACATGATACTCAGTTACAGTAAATTCCTTTACACAGCTGTACCAGGATAGAGGAATGTAATGCAGCTAAGGAACACTCTGCTTTCCTCAGGCTCCATGATGACCAAATCTCATGCTCACTCATTTCTGCAGAAATGTGAGGTGTTGTCAGGCAAGGTGTTCATTGCACCTGTACAAAACCCCTCTTCCATTTTTCCTTTACAGCTGTTTTAACCTCAGTAATGGAAGTCAGTAAAGAAGTACAATAGAACATAGACCAGGGAATTTTACTGGAATTCTGGCTGTTCTTTGCTCTGTCTGTAGGAAGTAAAACATTCAGTATCAAAGCAAGAATCCTTCACCAGCTGCCTTGGAGTGCAGTGATCGGGAAGTTGGGCTGCAGATCAGATGAAGGAGGCTGTGTGGAGCAAGCCACCTGCATCACCTTTTTGGGGGGGAAGTCAAACCCTTCGATAACAGCAGCACATACTTCAGAAAGATAAGACTCAATTCCAAATTCTGTCTCTAGCAAGGCAGAATATTCCACATGTTTCTTACATGTAATGCAGGAAGAGCAGGTTACAGGATGGAGCTGGTAATTTCAACTGACAAAGACAAAAAGTTTACACCAATTTCATTCTTCTCTCCTAGCTTCCTTCAGACAAGTAGTGAACAGGAGTCACCAATGCCAGATAACCATGTTCAACACCATTCCACTAGTGAAAGTACTCACTATAGGATTCCCTGTAGGTACCATCAATAAAGTGTGGGTTTTAAGGCTAAAGTACTCAGTACTATCAATCTTCAGATAAGTTAGATCAACTTTCTAAGCATTTTTGACTACAAGTTAACATGTGCAGAGATTCATAGCATACTACATCTCCTACAGTGATAAGATGAAGGAAAAATCTTACAGTAAGACATTCCTTGACCTACTTAAATTCAGCAGAGCTTAATAATAATGGAGAGGGATGTAAATCCAGTTGTAGCTGAAGCCCCGTACCCCAGAGACAGCATGGGGAGAGCTAGATTAGAAGCCCATACTCATATGTCTGGAGAGTTGGGTTCTCCTTCCCAGGCTGCTCTCCCTTTTTCCTAAGGCCCCAGCACATTTCATCCTACATCAAGTGCAGTTGTCATTGCCACATAATGCAGTTACAAGGCGTGAGCCCAACACCAGCTCGAGCTTCTGAAAAAGCAGTATTGGCTTTACATGGTAACTTAGAGACAGAGGCTCTTCTTGGGTCTAATTCTGAAGTTGCTTTTGGAAAACAAATCATACATGTAACATTGAAAGTGCAGCAGTTACTGCCAACATGAAATACAGAATTTCACAAGATGTGATTGTGTTGTGAGAGTAAAACTGCTGTCAAATATACCCAATTCAAACAACTGCATAAAGCGCTCAAGTCAGAAATAAATAACAAAGCAGGTCAGATACTGACAAGTGTACTAGAAACTAAACATATTCTTACTAGTGCAAAATTTAAAATATACTCCAATTTAAAATTACCTTCTGAAATTCTGGGATGGGGAGCATTGTTCTTTTTGTTGCTTAACCAGAGCCCTGTGGAATTTTCCTCCCATTAAGTTCAGCTCTGTGTAGGAGCCTGCCCTGCTCCGCCAGTGCTCAGGCAGGAATGGCCTCGACAGCCTCGATGAGGTTGAGGGCCAGGCTGTACTGCCCATGGTTCTCAGGCAGGTGCTCGATCACCTTGCTCACCAGCCTGGCTGTCGTTGTAATTGGCACTTCCACGTTCTGGATTTCCTGGGGGTCCTGTGTGAAACAATAAACTCAGCATCTCAGTCATGTCACAGATAAGCCCTCCAGAACCTTTATAAGACCGATTGCTAATGTTTATAAACAAAATCAAGGTGATGCTTTGACCCATGAAACTGCTCTACCCTCCATGAAACAGAACTACCATGAGGAAAAATGGAGGGAAAACATCCTATTTCCATGAGTAAGAAAGGGCCACTCAGATTTAATCTCTGGCTCGGTGAACAGAAACCTCAGAAAATCCACCTGTTTTCCAAACTGGAGCTTCACTTACCATAGCTTTGAGCCAAGTGCTCAGTGTTGGAGGAAGCCTGGAGAGGAGTTCCATGCCATCCTTGATCTGCCCATGGAGCAGAGCAAAGGCCAGCCTCTGTCCAGCCAGCATGAGCAGCTGGGATGCCAGCACCTCTTTGTCAGCAACCTGCACGAAGGCCTGCAAGCAGAGAAAAGGAAGGAACTAGAAACAGTTTCAGTGTGACAGCTCACTTAGCTGGAGGCCGGAATAGCTGTAACAAAAGAAAGTTCTTGATACTAAAAGGGCAAATAGTCTTTGAGACTGTTTCTTATGTTATGTGTTACTGTTACAAAGCACAGAGCAGCACAACATAGAGAATTACTCTGTACTTTACAGAGATTAGCAGGAGCACAAGATGTCTTACAGTCCAGCAACATAATCCCCCCCTCAAGGAAGGGAAGGGATTTTTTTGTCCTTTTTTGTTTTTTTCCTTTCTATCCTAAAAGACATTACAGCCCAAAGAAGGCAATTCCTGAAATTATCAAATACAATGAAATTTAAAAGGCCATGATAGTTATACCAGTAGTGTAACTCCCTGTCATTTCCACTAGTTGCATTACACAGATTCTTGCTGGGAAAATGGAAAAATAAAGGAATTATTAGTCCCGAAAAGGTACTTTTATAGTCTCTGACTTTTCAGCCTGGGGATTTTTTGAGCTTGATACATCTTGCCAAACCCTTCCAGGCATCTTAAATAAGTGAAAAGTAATTTTAGCAGAATACATGACAGTGTTGTAAAATGTTAAAAGTTGTTCTTACCTCCTCACCAAGATGATCCATCCCATAACTGTACAGTTCACAGACATAATGCCTTCTGACCAAATCCTCAGAGATCTGAAGATACTGAGCCAGGTCCGCAGCCAAAGTTGGCCAATTCTTCCCCTTCTCAAAAGGAAAATAATCCTCTTCTGAGACTTCTCTGTCCTTCTGTGACGAACACAGCGTTTGAACTGCTGCACTCACAACTTTGAGCAAGAACTTTGAAGCAAAAGTCACAGGTTACCTCAGGAGTATCTGTAACTTCAGAAGTTTAAGACCTTTCAGTACAGAACTTGTGCCTACCTGCTGTCGTATGGATAACATGTTTGGATCCATATCCCCGCTAGGTAGCAGCTGAATTGATGTTAGGTCTTTGAAAAATGCATTTCTGCCCTAAAATTGAGAACCAAAGACAGGTTTCAGGCAATACAACAAATCCACTCTGATCTAAACAGCCCACTTATTTCTCAAATTTATTTTGTGCTGCATCTACTCAAAGAGCAAATTGAGACCTCGAGTAAGAGAAGACAAAAAGAGAATGACTAATAGTAATAGTTGTATGTAGAAGAATGGAGACACAGGAATAGGATCTGATTTTACTGAAGCCATAATATACACTCTTAAATGACAAAAGGTAGTACAATGTTTTCTGTTAACAGATAAACAGAAAAAATACAAAACCAACGGAATTTGACCTGTGGTAAAATACTAAAATCAGACTCAAATGCTTGATGAGAACTTGCAGACAAGAGCCTACATCAAAAGGAAAGTAATATTCTGCATTTATAAATTTCCAGTAAATAATTTAGGAAAAAAACTGAACAGTGTTACAGCATTAAATTTTTTTCTCCACAGCAGGAGTTAAACCACAGTCTACACCAGTACTTTGTGTTTAAATTCTCTTAGGATCGAAGTGTGGTTATGATGGGAGGAGGAAAGCTCATTTTTGGGTATCAGGATCAAGCTCTGATTGTAACATACTGCATTTTAAATGCAGTGACTTTTCAAAGTGGTTTGTATGGGTTAAATGAAAAATTATTCATTCTTTTTGAGATGCTGGGAATTCTGCAATAATCAGGAGCAATAATGGATACAACAGTGGCACTAACAACATTTCTGACCTTTAAATACTTATGTTTCCACTGGTTTGGCACTTCTCAAAGCAACCAGAAAACCCTGTCATCCAGTGCTCTGACCATGGAGTATTTTCAGCCCAGCTAATAATTAAAGAGCTGATCTTCATGCAACTGAGGTCACTACAAATCTTTCATTCATAAGGAAGCTCACCAAGTTTGAGTCTCTGCCTGAATTCTGGTGACAATTTCATCAATGCACCACAGTGGACTAAAGGCTTTCATAAAATCATGCAGAAACTGTTTAAAGTGGAAAAGCCAGCAAATATCCCAGATACCAAGAAGGGAGTATCAATTAAGGCAGTATTTCATTATCTGCTTTCTAAGCTATACCTTGCTGTCAAACAGTGACAGTGGCTTCACACCCTTGAGTGAGAGCCTCATGATGGCGTAGAGGACGGTGCAGAGCACAAACTGGTGCTCCACCAGTGGGTAGTGGATGCGCTTCTGCTCCAGGGCCAGCTCCACGATGGACACTGGGCCTTCCACCGACACCCAGGCGTCCTCAGTGTCCAGCACAGGGGCCTGCATCTCATCACTGCTCACGTCTGCCTGCCAAGCAACACACCAGAGCAGTCACACACTAAAAACCTCCTACACTGGCCTGCTCTGCAGTGAAATTAAAAAAAAAAAAACTTCATGTTGTTTAGAATATCATTAACATTTGTCTGAACTGAACAGGACAGAAGTTAGTATAAT